TGTCGTCCTCGTACATTGACTGGCTATGAATTTCATAATTGGCTTTCAGGCTCTTCACAGACACGCCACACTGCTTAATCTCCTTCTCCACCTCCTCTCGAGTGGAGAATGATTGCGATCGGCCAATGCTTCCAGAATTTGAGATCCCCGTCTGGCCTTTTCCACTCTTCAGGCCTTCGTATGTATATCCTTCATTGATCATTCCCAGAATATCGATCTCCTTCCCGCCCAAAGTGGCGAGCAGAATGGCCATGCTTTTGAGCAGCGTGGAGATCTTGCTGCACCAGGCAGGCAGGTCTTCTGCTTGCCCATGAACCTGTTTGGGGTTGACAGAGAAGTGGTCTTGGTTCAAGGCTGCAGACACAGGTAGGAGTTGCTTCAACTCTTGCTCCAGCTGTTCCAGATCTTTCTCCACCTCTGTCACTTTGTGCATGACCTGGAGGTTCTCGATCTGCTTCTCAATGCGGACGAGGTCGTCCTCTGTCATCAGTTCCCCAAAGGGACCCAGTATAGCATTGTGCACGTGTGAATAATGCCAGTCTTGGGCTTGATAGTATCCACTGGCAGCAAACTAAAGTAGGTTCAGAGGAGGATATAGAAGGGAACAAAAACAGAGGTGGAGTGCTCTTCAGCCTGTGGATCCGATGCGTTACATACACGCCTTTAAAGCCTCTTCACCTCAAACGTTTCAAACTTTACATGAATTTAGTGGTGCGATGATACTGCCTTGATTTGACTGAGTTGACTTTACTTGCAAAAGAAGCTTCAGGGAAAAAATGTAGTCTGGCAAGACTTTTTGTCTTGAGTTTTTGTTAGGATCTATTAAATATGTGACCTCGGACCACAAAACCAGTCATAAGGGTCAATTTTTTGGAATAGCTGAATAAATAAGCTTTCCATTAATGTATAGTTTGTTAGGACAGGACCATATTTAGCCGAGATACAACTATTTGAAAATCTGGAATCTGAGGGTGTAAAAAAATCTAAATATTAAGAAAATTGCCTTTAAAGTTGTCCAAATTAGGTTCTTAGCAATGCATATTACTTATCAAAAATTAAGTTTTGATATATTTATGGTAGGACATTTACAAATTATCTCCATGTAACATGATCTTTACTTAATATCCTAATGATTTTTGGCATAAAAGAAAAATCGATAATTTTGATCCATACAATGTATTTTTGGCTATTGCTACAAATATACCCCAGCAACTTAAGACTGCTTTTGTGCTCCAAGGTCACATATATTAAAACATCCTCTGGGTTGTTTTTAAACGATTGCCTATGGACACAATCAGTGACATGCTGTTGAATTCTACAAACAATAATTTCAATGCAATCCTCAATTCGTAAAAAGGAGCAGGAACTATATTTTCAGTAAAACACTTACTGTGGATGTATAGGCAAGCGGGCCAGTGCATTTAAAAGTTCATATTTTTTTTGTAAAAGCACTTGAATATCTCATTAGTTACTATTTGAGCTGTGAAGTTGCCTAAACTGTCCTTTTGAGTTGGGACTACTTGGAGTTACGAGTTACCACCAGCATAATATTTGTGGATAGAGTGTGCATAACTCAGCTCCATGTAAATACGTTTTGTTTATGCATGGAGCTGATATGTTAAGTCTCTTGCTGATATGCTTGTGCAGATATCAATCAAACTGAGGTTACATTTTGTGTCATAACATGAATTAAAAGATTTTGTACAGAGAGAGGGTTGGTAAGCAATTCTGTAACAACACTTTCATGACACCACAATGTTAAAGACTTATGGCTATAATACTGAAACAATGTGATAGCTATATATTTTGGAGTGCTGGCCATTTGTTTGCTAGTCTTTCATTGTAAGTGTATTTAAAGTAAGTGTTGTATATTGTAAGTGTATTTACAGTATGTTCCCAAGTCTAAATTTAATTCCTGTAATTCCACAGCCTGCCATAGATGCTGTCCATATAGACATTCATTTGAAAGTTACCCAGAAGTTTCCTTTAAGTGTGAAATTCATGTGTACTTTATCTGTCAATTATATTTAGCTCATGTTTCCAAGGGACTTGACTATATGCACATGATCTAAAATAATAAATAAATAAATAAATACTGAGACACTTTCAGGACGTTAACAAGCTGTATGAAGGTATAAGAAAAAAATAAAGCGCTTAATGAGTAGAATGAGCAAGACGACCAACTGCACTTCATGCTGTAAGCTCCAGTTGCAGTGTGAAGGGGCTTTGCATCACACCACTGAATCCCCATGTAAAAACTTAGAGCTGTCGTGCACCATCGCCAGTAAGCCACATTAAACTAATACTTCCTTAGTAAATGTCAAACACACTTAGGCTTGTCTTGAGATGGTCACAACAGCCCCAAATTAAACACTGCATCACTCAACACACAGTAAAGGAAAAGCCAACCAAATGTCACACTGCAAAACACTCCCTTGAAACCCCACACTATGAATCCCAGACCAAAACTGAAGATTGAGTTTTATTTTTGGCTTTCAGACAGTGACTTACCATAAGCTGTAACCAACCTTGTCTGAGCAGTAATATTAAACTCTTAAAGGTCTAGTTTTACAAATCAGAGCCAACTGTAACTGTAACAACTGTGTGTTTGTTTTACCCGCTATTTGACTTTGCAGTCAAGTACATGCCAGAGGGACACATCGATGTGTTCACAATAAATAAACATATATATTTAAGAACAGAGTAGACAGCAAAAGGGATTCGATAATGCCATCTAAGGCAAGAATAAGTAATCTGGCCTATTTTACTGGTACAAGATGTCATGAAAAACAATGTTCCTTGGACAAAATATGTACAAATATACCACTCTCACAATATTGTTCAGTCACTGACAAATAATATCTCACCCCAACACTAATTCTCCATCCTTGCATCTATTAACAACACATTTCTAAGATTTATGTGCTGACAATTCCTGCTAATCCAAAAATGGATTTATGAAATGATTCAGAGCTGCATAGATGTTTGCTCATTCACACCACACTGCTTTAGTTACCCCCAGACATCATAAACTTATCATACAATTTATCATTCATGGAGAAGTGAAAGATCACATGCATAATGTTTGCAATTAGCTCTTGCATATAGTTTTTTAAAACAGAAAACTCAAAAATCCCCATGCAGACACCCACTGCTCCACTATCCTCCATGTAGACAGATCAAACCTCAATTTCATAGCTATGATTTACATTTGAAATCATAAGCATTTTTAAAATCTAAAGAGGTGATACTATAGCTCGCACTGCTAAAACTACAGGAGGATAGCACTGAGGTCAGAAGCTGAGAAAATGCACTCATTTCCATTTATTCATTGTAAAAGTTAAATTGTTAGAGTTAATTTTTAGAAACATCATTGCATATAAACATTTAAAAACAACTGGGTATAACTATGAGACTGGCTATGTTCAGAACGGAAAACTAGCTTAAATATGATTATTTTGTATTTTAAATGAAATATTATCTTAACAACTTTTAGAAGTTGTAATAGCTTATATTACTTAAATTCATCACAACTGAAATGGAAGATCAATTAATGTGCATTGTATGTATAAAGACAATTTGCATACTGTGCACAGAATACATCTGCTGCAGAAACTGCAGTATGAACAGTAGTATGTTAGTATGCTATTCCGAACATTTTAGCAATTATTTAACATACTTAAGGACCCCATGAAATACCTTGACATAATTTTCTCCCCTGCATTGATGGATATCCTACTGAAACAGGAAGTGGGGCAATATTGCAGAGTTTTTCCCTGGTTTAACATCCACAGCTTGCACCATTGACAAAATAATTAATAAATATACCAGCAACTCCCATTGTAACCACTATATGGTTGGGAAAGCACATATATGGAAAAACTTTACAACCAAAGACTCACGGTAACACTTTAGTTTAGGGAACACAAATCACTATTAACTAGTTGCTTATTACCATGCATATAACTAGCATACTGGCTGTTTATTAAAACTTGTAATGTACAAATTAATGCATGACCATATTTTAGATCCCGTAACTATGGAAACCCGTTTCTGCCACCCAAAAAAAAAAAAAAAATTAAAAAAGGTAATTGCAGCTATTTATCCCAAAATTCTGATTTGTTGCTTTTTTCTCAGAATTGTGAGATGTAAATCAGAATAGTGCGTTTATGCCAGAAACGGGCTTCCATACTTAACCCTATGCAATACCTAAATGTAACTACTACAACAACTAACTATCAATAAGCAGCAAATTAGGAGTTTATTGAGGGAAAACTCTTAGTTAATAGTGAATATGTGTTCCTTGATCTAAGGTGCTACCAGACACATGGATGAACTATGATTTGCTTCTTTCTAATGCTAGTCAGAGGCACATATCATTGTTTGGGATTGGGCATTTTAATTCTAAGAAGCATTTTATGGGACAAAAATTTGTCATCAGTCATTTTTTTTTGTTTAACAAGATAATAAAGACTATTTTGTGCGTGCATGTGCATTTTGTCGGCTCTTAGGAATAGCTAGATTATAAATGACCTTAAAGGAATAGTTCACCCAAAAATGTTGTCATCATTTATTCACCCTCATGTTGTTCCAAACCTGTACTGATTTCTTTCTTAAGTTGAACACAAAACAAGATATTTTGAAAAATTTTGAAGAACCAAACAGTTGTTGGTCCCCATTGACTTCCATAGTAGGGAAATAAATACTATGGAAGTCAATGGGGGCCATCAACCAGCATTCTTCAAAATATCTTCTTTTGTGTTCATCATAAGAAAGAAACGTATACAGGTTTGGAATGACATGAGGGTGAGTAAATGATGACAACATTTTCATTTTTGGGTGAACTATTCCTTTAAACGCATAGACTCAAAGCCACTAAACTCCAATTTTGATTTGTGGGGTCTTTAAGTATGTTTTGAAGCTGTAGTAATGTTGACATTTTGGATAAGAGATGCACTGCTCAGCTTATGTTTAAAACACCCAGCTGCTTCATCACTCACCTTTTTCTTGTTCTCTTCCTCCTCCTGCATCTTCACTTGTAGTTTCCTCACCATCACCTGTCTCTTCCACTCTGGGATGGCTCGGCCCTGCTCGTCATGTGTGGGCACCAGACTCTCTACGTCCACCACGCTGGACTTGCTCTGGACAGCAGGAGTATTTCCGTTGACAGCAGTTGCGAGCTTCTCGCTGCTCTGTGAGGTGGACAGGTTCTGGGGCGACCCTCCGCTGGTCGTGGGAGCGGGTGGAGTGGGTGGGCAAGCAGGCGGTGGAGACTCTGGCTTTGCAGATTGGGTGTTGTTGGGCTGGGGTTTTGGCAGAGGCTCTGGCGGCGATGACGGACGTTCCCCCTGAATGTCAAAACGATCAATCAGAATAGAATGTTCCAGACAAAAATATAGACATGGTCACAGCTGGCTTGAATAAAAAATAAACTCTTAAAAATACAATTATATCAATAGTTCTTTGTAGCATCTAATGATCTCATCTAAACAACTCTCATCTTATAAAGAATAGGATTAACTTGCAATGAGGATAATGATTTGTGCTTTATTTATACAGCACTTTATACAGCGCAGGTTGTTTCAAAGCAGCTTTACAGTGCTTAACAGGAAAATAATGATTCAATGATGCAAACAGAATTTAGTTCAGCTCTAGAGCAGCTCTGAAAAGACAACGGTAAACAATAATGAGTCAGTTGAAATCAGTTCATTGTTGATTCAGTTTGGTTCAAAAAAGTGTAAAGTCCATCAATTATGAAACGAGCTTAATTCATAGATATATAGATAGATAGATAGATAGATAGATAGATAGATAGATAGATAGATAGATAGATAGATAGATAGATAGATAGATAGATAGGTAGGTAGGTAGAGAGAGAGAGAGAGATAGCTCTGGAGAAAACAGTAATTTCATCAGTTCAGTTCTCATCCACTAGTGTCCGTGCAGTCAAGTGAACAATATTTCCAGATATTAAGTGATACATTATTGGCTGCATAAATGTGATTGTTTTCTATCTTACAGACTTTTTAGTTTATTTTTGTACAATAAACTATTTTTGATGTGTCTGCTATACTTATCAAAAACTATTTTTCACTGTTAAAGGTTCTTGAGTTGGTTATGGTTCTTTGGAAATTAAAAATACTTTTTAAACAATGCATCACAGGTTCTTGAGATCAGTGTATTCGTTTCAGGATTCTTTAGAGCACCGATACATGAATGATTTTCTAAAGAACTAAAGAACAAAACATTCTTTGTAAAATAAAGTTATTTTTGGCATTATAGTATGATTGTGTTCACAGTGTTCGGGAATTACCATAATTCAGAATTCCTAATAATGAGAACTTGTATTTATGCCATTACTCAGAATTATATTTAATTTTGTTTGACTGAGTTCTTTATCGTACACTCTCAGAAAAAGGGTACAGAAGCAGTCAATGGGGTGGTACATTTTCAAAAGGTTTTCATTTAGCTACTAATATGTATACTATAGCTACAAATATGTACCTTTAAGATACTAAAATGTACAAAGGCATACCTTTATACCGTCCCAGTGACAGCTTTTGTACTTTTTTTCTGATGATGTAATTAATTTCTTGAAATTCTCAGCAAATTAAGGTAGCTAAAACAGATTTAAATGCTCCTCTGTAATTTCCTCAATTGCGTAACTTTAATAAATGTGTGCTATTGTATTGCATCGCCCATAACTGAGTTACACAAGCCTCACACTAGTCTGCCTGAATTATCCTGGACAATGGATTTGGAGCCAGATCACGGAGCTGCACTCTTATAATGATCCAAACTGCAACTTTATACCCTGAAACTAACTTTGTTCTGGATTATTTCATAATTTTTTTTTGTGGCCATAGAAGTTACATTTATATTTTTTGGGAATACTGATCTATATTTTAATGTATCCATCTCTATAATGTATTATCGAATACAGAATTCCTCTCTCATGCACCTCAAGAAATATCACTGACTCCTGTCCATTGCTATCTATGTGCCATATCCAATTTGGCTTTTGTTTCTATGGATAGTCATTAGCATTTCTGATGCAAACACTATTAGGTCACATCTCAAGCCAAACAGTAGCAGTCACACTCAAATGAGAGATCAAAGGTTACAAGTAGACAAGCGCTATAACACATTTCATGAGACAAAGTATTTTTGATTTATGAGATTTACCATTAGGAATAAACATAAAGCTCAAAACAAGCTCCTAAGTAAAACATTTATAGGTAAGAAATAAATCAGGGAAATTAAGGGAGCGTGACCTACATTGTTCTCCGCTGTGCTGCTGTTAGAGTAGACGGTCGTGTAGCCTTTACTCTGAGGTGTTGGCTTCAGTTTTGGCCCAGCTTTAATTTCGGCCAGAAGCTCAGAATTATCTCCAGTGGGGGACATCATGTTGAAGGATTTATTGCCTGTGATAAAGACAGAGGGAAACTGAGCAAGGATGGATGGATGCATGAAGAGAAAAAGCGAGAGAGACACACACCGGACAAGCTTCTATCTCCCCTAAATATTTAATTCAAAACCCCAGACGTCCAAACAAATGTCTGAAGCAGTCAGTAACTTGTGTGCTGGTACTAAATAGTTCCCAATGAAATGAATCCACTCACTAAATAAAGTATAAAACATAGAAAAGACTCAGGTAAAGCTCAGTTTGAAGAAAAGCGAACAAAGAAAAGATCAGGCCTTTGTTGAAGTTTCAACCATCAAAATGATTTCAAATCTATGACGCATTCGATTGCGCTGACCACTGCTATGTATAATTTAATATGCATAATTCTTTATATCAGATTTGGTGAATCTGACTGGAAGAACGACAGTGGCTGGCAAATGAGGACAAATGGGATTTTATGAGAAAATATGGAACTTATTCAATTAAAGATTATTATATAACATAATCTACTTGACCAAAAGTGGCCTCTGCTTTAGTCCCATAATACATTACAGTGCCAGGAAACAAAAGGTTGTTGATCTTTCAACGATCTCTAAAAAATCCACACATTCATTTTGCTGCTTTAACATGATTTTATCCACTTTATATTTACAAATGTAACAATGTGAACAAATAAAAAATTTTTTTTTAAAAATTAAATAAAGGAGATAAATTACGTATAACCAGAATGTTTAATCCACCAGAAGAGCACAAGGGACTTTCTAAATATAAATATAAATAGAGCATAAATCTACCCTGCAGAAAACACCTTAAAAATTAATGATTAAATATGGATTATAAATGGATTAAAAAATAAAAAGAAATAAATACATAGCAAAATATATGGATTTAAAATAACTATAACTACTCAAACTATTAACATAACTTATTTTCTTCTTCAAAATATGAACTGAAATAAACTACACAATATTGCTAAAGAAATAATCAAATAAACGTACATCACCTGACTGTTGTTTTTGATTTCAATCTCCAGAGTGTCTAGTAACAGACGTGCTATTGTTTTGTCATAGCTGTGGTCATGAAAAAGTCTTCTCAGACTGAGAGAAGATATACAAGCTCTCCTCTCTTCCCGCAAGAACAAAAACCACTGCGTTCGCTTACTGCCGGTGGCTCATCACTGTTGGGGGAAGTCTGAACGGATCAGCGGTAATCAACTCTGACAAGAGACGGCTGCCAAATTGGAGTTGGATTTGAAGTCCACTCACTGACCTTACGTCCTCTCCTCGCTCTCACTGACCCTCCTCCCGACTCACACTTGTTCCTCCAGCTCTCCAGTGGATTAACAGAGTCTCACATCACATAAATGTGACACGACAGACCATTTCTGTTGATGGTCTGTTCAGAAGATGCTTATAAATCCATTCATACCCTACAACTGACCATGCAAAGACATTCCCCACTAAAAATAAATAAATAATTTAGTGCTGTCAAATGATTAATCGCGATTAATGGCATCCAAAATAAACGTTTTTGTTTAATATATGTGTGTGTGCTGTGTATATTTATTATGTATATATAAATTATACACACATAGAGCATATATTTTGAAAATATTTACATGTATTTACTAGTGCTATCAAATGATTAATCACATCCAAAATAAAAGTTTTTGTTTACATAATATATGTACGTCTACTGTGTTATATTTATTTTGTATATATAAATACACTCACATGCATGTATACATTTAAGAAAAATATGTTATGTTTATATATTAAATATTTTTTAAAATATAAATTATATGAATATAAATATAGACATGTAAATACATGTAAATATTTTCAAAATATATACTGTATGTGTGTGTATTTATATATACATAATAAATATACACAGTACACACACATATAATATGTAGACAAAAACTTTTATTTTGGATGCCATTAATCGTTTGACAGCACTAGTATTTATATGTATGCATTTATATTCATATAAATTATATCATATATAAATATGTTTAATATATAAAGGTAACATATTTTTTTTAATATATACATGCATGTGTTTGTATTTATATATACATAATAAATATACACAGTACACATACATATAATATGTAGACAAAAACTTTTATTTTGGATGCCATTAATCGTTTGACAGCATTAGTATTTATATGTATGCACTTATATTCATATAAATTATATCATATATAAATATGTTTAATATATAAAGGTAACATATTTTTTTTAATATATACATGCATGTGTTTGTATTTATATATACATAATAAATATACACAGTACACATACATATATTATGTAAACAAAAACTTTTATTTTGGATGCGATTAATCGCGATTAATTGTTTGACAGCACTAAAATAAATAAATAAATAAACCATACTAAGATGGCCTCTTAGCTGGTTAAAACTGGTCTAGTCCTAATTAGCTTATAGAAAACCTCTTTAAAGCCAGCAAACAAGACCAGCTAAGAAAAAACTAATGAAAATAATAAAATGGAACTAGCCATACAATTGTTCACAGATACAATAGCAAAACTATATGTTTATCAACTTTTAAAGGGATGTGTTTGCAAACTCTGCGGTATTTTGGAACAAATTAACTGTAACGTGGTAGAAACTAGTCAAATTAGAGAGATCGGCATCTGCATTTATTTGATTGAAAATACAGTAAGATTGTGAAATATTGTTACATATTTAAAATAACAGTTTTCTATTTAAAAATATTTTTTTTTAAATGCATTGCTGTGATCAAAGCTGAATTTTCAGCATCACTACTCCTGTCTTCAATGTCTCATGATCCTTCAGAAATCAGTATAATATGCTCATTTGCTGCTCAAGACACATTTCTGATTATTATCAGTGCTGACATGGACAGGTTGTGTGACATGCCCTAATCCTCAAAAACCATTAGCAAAACAAGAAAATATGGCCCAGATTACAAATACACAATTTTGCAACTGTGTGCGCTCACCGAATGAGGTCCAATATATATATATATATATATATATATATATATATATATATCCTAATGCTCACAGAGGCTGCCTAAAGATTTCTGACAGCACTCAAAATGTTAGCACGTATATGAAAGTATTTAATCAAATAATATGCAGGCAAATATTGCTGGTAATTACTATATTGAGGCATATAAATGAAAATGATTGTATATCATTCCTCCTTGTGTTCGTTTAGCCACTTCAGTGTAAATAAGCATAGAAAGAAAATAATCAAAAAGCTGAAAATATCAAAACATAACTTATAATATTTTTAGATACTTTGCCCAACATGACCTATTGCTAGTTAAAATAAATCATCATAGCTTAATACAAACGCAATGTACGTTACCTTCGACCTTGACTTGGCAAATCTTCATTCATGACCTGTAGCTAAATATCACTTTACTATACCTTAAACAAAGGCAAGCAGAAGAACATGTGCCAGCATATGAGCAGAAAAAAGAGGATCAGGATGTTCACAATAGCTGTGCATAGCGAGGAATGATGTGGCGTAGGATGAAGGCGCTGCGTTGACAGCACAGCAAGTCAATAAGGCCGCCCACTGTTTACACACCTTCATACTCATTCATTAAAGCATGACTCACTATACGCAGACTAATGTCAAAACATGCCACTTTAATAGATGAACTGCTTGTAAACTCAACAGTTTATTCCAAATTGAAAGTGGTTTTAATTCCACATGGATTTTTATGAGGATGAGTCAACATGAAATAAAAATTCACACCATATTTACTTAATCTTATTGTGCATGGTTCACATGTGCATTGTATTTCTCAAAATTAACTTTCATCAAAATATAATAGCTTTCTCTGTGTCTCTGATGTCATCAAGCCCTCTTAGTTGTCAACCAATCACCTGGCTTCATTCTGGTATGCCACGCCCACTTTTTTACAGCCCTTTACAAAATAGAAAAGTTCTATCCTGCGGTTTTTATCGCCGTTTCACTCAGAAAACAGTGTTGGGGGTAATGTGAGTTACGTAATCAGATTACTTTTTCAGGTAACTAGTAGTATAACACATTACTTTCAAATTTACAAAAAAATATTACAAATTACGTTTTCAAAATTACTTTGTTTTCCCATTTATTCACTCCTGACTCCTCTCCTGCCCCGTGTTGAGTGAAATCGAGAGTAAGGTGCAAAGTTTCTTCCTTCAGCCTGAGGCTTATTCATTTAACTTTTGGTGTGAAAGGGCCTTTATAGTTGCCAAAAATAAAACTTTTAGGTTTTTTATTATTAAAAAATACAAAACAAGCCCAGCTTAGGAGACAAAGAGTAAAGCAAAAGTCATGTAATGCATTACTTTCCATCAAAAGTAACTAAGTAATGCAATTAGTAACTTTTAACGCAATATTGCAATGCATTACTTTCAAAAGTAACTTTCCCCAACACTGTCAGAAATACGTCAGTAAAATTGGCTGTGAATGTCATTTCATGTTGACTTCACTGTATTTGTGGATAAAGAGGTTCAACGACCTCACTCGCCGCACAATTTCATCAATCAATGTAGCTACGCTATATAAACAATCACAGCTGATGTGCCAGAGTCCCCGCAGCATCTGGGAATTCTGTGGGATGATCGCAACTGGGATCACAGAAAAATCACGCTGGGTGCTGTGGTTTCTTTGGCTATCTGAACTAGTGAGAAGTGCATGGTAATATTGAAAATACTAGATTTACTTCAGCTTGTGGTCCAGTAGCCAAATAAACGACACACTCGGTTCTCTCGATCAAGGGAAAGAGAAGAATTGGAGTAAAGAGCGAGACATAAATACAAACACACACACATAATGAGGCTGGGGGGAAATACTTACTCTTCCTCTGCCGGAGTGTTTCTGGAGCAGGGGTGACAGAGGGAGACAGATCCCCTTCTTTAGAGCGAATGCGTCATGAAAAGAGAAGAATATGGAAAGCCAGGAAGTGTCCATGCAAAGCAGAGAGAGACAGATCCAGGCAGACAGGTGTGGTGAAGACAGATGCAGACGATGAGAGGATGACAAATACAGGAAGGAAAGAGAGGAGATGAACAAACAAAAAAACCAAACACAATGAAACATAATATTGTTTTGGCAACCTGTTCGCCTCTTTATTTTTTTATTTTTAAACTTGTGGTCAAGGGTGATCTATAGGCAAGTGAGAGTCGTATACTTGCTCTGAAAATATTTGACTGAAAATGTTTATAAAATCGGTAAAAAATAGACCAAGGCAACTAAACACTAGATTTTTACGTTGTCTAAAGCAAGCACTGCTTATATAAAACTTGCCTTCAAGCTGCTTATTTAGTTGCTATGTATTTGTTATGCAGTTGCTAGGGGTGTTCCCGAGTTCTTTTAATATGTGTAGGGTATTCTAAGTGGTTGCTAGGTCATCTTGGTAGCTTCTCATGTATTCAGGACTGTTACTAGAGCGTTGCTGGGTGGTTGCTTTTTTGTGTTGTGAATGTTACAATGGAATTGCTAAGTGACAGCGAGGATGCCTTGGGTGGTTTCTAGCAGGTTGCTTACTGGCCCAAGTCATTTTTACCAGTTTTATCATTGGGTGGGTAAAAAATTGCTTAGAAAAGGACTTGCACACCTCTTCTTAACCAGTAATCTGCATTATGAGTCACGCAATAAAGTTTAATACATAGGGTTATGAGTACTACTACCGGTCAAAAGTTTGGAATATTTATTTATTTAATTTTTAAAGGCTCTTATGGTCACCAAGACTGCAATAATTTGACTAACTATACAGCAAAAACAGTCATTTTGTGAACAATTTTTATTTATTTGAATATATTTTAAAATGCAATTTACTTTTGAGATGCAAAGCTGAATTTTCATCAGCCATTAATCCAGTCTTCAGTGTCACATGATCTTTTAGTGATTATAAAATAATGTTTTAATAAATAAATATTTTAATTATATATATATATATACATTTTTTTTTAATATATAAATGTTTTCTTTAAAAAAAACTAACACTAGCTTGCTCTATTCTTTTTCTATTCTATCTGTTTTCTTTTTATTTATTATATAATAAATATAAAAAAAACCTTGCTACGTGTACTGAGCTAACTGAGACTTGTTATAGCACTTGCGTATCATTGCTCTTTTGTTGATTTTGATTGCTTCCATTGTCCTCATTTGTAAGTCGCTTTGGATAAAAGCATCTGCTAAATGACTAAATGTAAATGTAAATAAATAAAACTTTTGACTGGTAGTGTATATGCAATACTAATAGTGATGCTTGTCTCAGCAAACAGCACTTACTGGATCTATCTTTATCATCTTAGCTGCCTTATATATGATGATTGAATTAAGAGATTCTTGATTTCACCTTAAAACCTTAAAACATCAATTTTTGCAAGAGAAAAAGGAAATCAGTTGGCCAGCTAGAAAGTGTTGGGCTTTCTGTTTGTGTATTATTTGCAGGCCACAACAAATGTGCAATAGGACACATTTCCACAATTCCACAGCCAGCGCTACATTTCCCTGAAGTAACACTGAATTGTTCAACACATCACAGATATTGTCTTGTCCCGAAGACATGTCAAGTATCCCTTGGAGGAACAACAATTAAGTAAATGGCAGAACACAAAACCGATTCAAAGTAACAATAGCCCATGCGCATTAATTCGTAAACAGACTTTGGAAGGAGCAGGCCGCCAGATCTCACGTTAACAGGCTGGAACTTTGTGAGATTTACCCTGTGGCTGCAGGGCGGTCCTGGGGCTCGGTCCCCTTAAATATATATACAGTATATACAGTGGGTATGGAAAGTATTCAGACCCCCTTACATTTTTCACTCTTTGTTATATTGCAGCCATTTGCTAAAATCATTTAAGTAAATTTTTTTTCCTCATTAATGTACACACAGCACCCCATATTGACAGAAAAACACAGAATTGTTGACATTTTTGCAGATTTATTAAAAAAGAAAAACTGAAATATCACATGGTCCTAAGTATTCAGACCCTTTGCTCAGTATTTAGTAGAAGCACCCTTTTGATCTAATACAGCCATGAGTCTTTTTGGGAAAGATGCAACAAGTTTTGCACACCTGGATTTGGGGATCCTCTGCCATCCCTCCTTGCAGATCCTCTCCAGTTCGGTCAGGTTGGATGGTAATATTAAATTCACATTAAATACTAAGTCAGTCGTATTAAAAATATTTGGTGGTATGACACCCATATCTGGTATATTTAAGTAAAAAGACTTCGTTTAAGTACCAGTTTTTATGCAAAGTTAATAGATTACACTATTAGGCTACTTTGCCCATCGCGAATTATAGATCAACAAACATAATCTATAAAGGTGCAAAATGCATTTACTTACACATATTTGAGAATCGAGATATTTCATGATATATGTTGGGAATATTTTGAATAAAAATAAAAAATCATTAATCCCTGCTGAAAAAAACAATAAACACCATTACAAAATTTGTAATGGTTTTACTGGTTATAATGGGACTTGTATTAGTTTTAATGGAACCTGTAATGAACCCTGTGGGTCTCTACTGCTAATTGGTCACCTTCTATTGGTGGCTTGTTAAAACCAATAAATCCTAATGGAATATGTCCCAAAACACACCACAGAAAAAAAAAATTTAATGGTTAAAAGTTGATGGTTTGTAATGTTTGTGATGGTATTTGTAGTGGAAATATTAACATTTTCTGTGATGGTTTTATTGGGTTTTTTTCCAGTAGGGATATAAGCCTATATCAGTTATACAGTGGTATTGAGGCTGTTGTGTGTCACATGACAAGCATGAGAGCCCCCCCTTCACTCGAGCCCCCTCAAAAATAATGAGTGCATGATGCCCCTGACACTACAATACAAAATTATTTGTCAAATAAATGAAACATGATGAAACATTCATTTTAGTTGAAATTGTTATAGATTAGTTCTAGGGATCGCAGTAATACCTGACATGGTGAAAAATGACTGAATGAATAATACTGAAAGTAGGTTAAGATGAAATTTAAAATTGTGTCCCTAAAAGCACAAGTGGCCCCTGTCTGGGCCCCAGTTACTGGTCTAGAACCACCCCTAAGACTTCCATCTTGTGCTTGCGGAGAGCCCTTGGTGATACTGAGAGTTGGACTGAACATGGACAGGTCTACTGATATCCACAACATCTGCTTTAAATAAACGGTTTAGGATTGCAGACTAAACAGCATGAATATTTTACATTGGATGTTAGATTGGTTGCACATTCACCCATGACTGAAGATCTAAGCAAATACTGATACATAAACCGAAGTTTGACACCAATGCACTCACACCATTCATGTGAAATATTTTCTTATTACATATTTAGATACTTTAAATAAAGGGATATTCTCTGTTAGGTACAATTTACAATCTGACAACATCTGAGACATACTGTCATATTACCACATACAATCATTCAATTCCCGATGTTTGACTTTAGATGATTGCATTATTACTTGAGAATGTCTTCGAAGGACTGTTTTTAGTCCAAACTATTTTCTGTGGTAAAAATGTCAAAGATGCTATCAATAGTATTTAACCGAAATTGAGCTTGTATTTAGTATTTAGCTTTAGTATTTAACAAAAGTACATCCTGGATTTTGCATGCTGGGCACAATTAGATTCCTTTAGGAAGTTTTAACTGTACTTAATAAGGCCGTCTTGTTCCTCTGTGTTTTAAATCTTGGCCTAATGGATCATCAGGTGCTTATGAAGTTTGTTTGCACTTTTGAGAGCTTTTAAAGGCTTGCATGCATGAAAATTGTACAAGGGTCAATTGACTTTTAAATACCAGGTTTCAAAATATCTACTGGCTTTTATTCAAAAAAGTTGAAAGTAAAGTATCATGTACACTACCGGTCTAGTGTCTTTGCTTATTATTTGATTGAAAATACATTCAAAACAGTAAATATTGTTACATATTTAAAATAACTGTTTTCTAATTAAAATTATATATAAAACTTTACTCCTGTGATCAAAGCTGAATTTTCAGCATCATTACTGCAGTCTTCAGTGTCACATGATCCTTCAGAAATCATTCTAATATGCTGATTTGCTGCTCAAGAAAACATTTCTGATTATTATCGGTGCTGAAAACATTTTTTTGCTGCTTAATTTTTTTGTGGAAACTTTGGGATAAGTAGGTGTTCTTTTGAAATTTCTATCCATCAAAGAACTTTAAAAAAATAGTATCAGAAAAATATTAGGCAGCAAAAACGGTTTACATTATTAATCACTGAGCGCCAATCATGTTTATACGTAGGAATTAATACGTAACATTTACAAGCACAAAACGTACACTTTTGTACGTTTTTATTCATGCTAAAATGTACAATTTAGACGTATTTCAACGTTTAAAACGTACAAATCGCTACGTATTTTTAGCTAAAAAACGTAAAAATATTTACGTATCTTTTATATCATTTAGATATTCGTATCAATGCATTTTTATCATTTTATCAATAAGCGATTTAGATTTTTAGACCCCTTAACCTGCCCCCAAACCTAAACCTACCCATTTTATAGCGAATATGCATTTTTATAATTTTATTAATTGTCAGTTTTGTACGTTTAAATGCTGAAAATACGTAAGTATTTGTACGTTTAGAGGCTGAAAATACGTCAGTATTGTACGATTTAGTGCCTGTAAAAACGTAAGTAAATGTACGTTTTATAGAACCACATTTTACGTAAAATACATACGAATTATCATGAGATCACGTTGGTAATTGACAATAATTGAGCACCAAATCAGCATATTAGAATGATTTCTGAAGGATCATGTGACACTGAAGACTGGAGTAATGATGCTGAAAATTCAGCTTTACATCACAGGAATAAATTGCATTTTATAAAATATTTATTTTAAATTGTAAACATATTTCACAATATTACATAAGAAACTTCTTTCAAAAACATAAAAAAATATATTAATTATTCCAAACTTTTGACCGGTAATGTATTGTGCACAATCTGTCAATGCAGTGGCATAACAGGGATGTATCTGTCCTCACTTTGTGACACTAATACTCTGCCCTCCAGCGATAGGAGAAGATTAGAGGGGTCATACTATGAACAAAGAGTCAAACGAGTGAAAGGGTTGAACGCATAACCCCTAAGCATTGTTTCACAGATGAAGAGGTCAGTCGATTATAACTTAAGGCCTTTACAAGTCTTAAGTGGTGTTCACATTGCCAGCGGTTAAATTCATAAAGGTCAGGCCAAATCTCTGTGCTGTTAGGCTAGCAGGTGTTTCTCCATCAGCGTATCCAACTGTATCAGGTGGCAGATCACTGTCTACACTCCCGTCAGTAGATGCCACACTGCATCGCTGCTCATTATGCAACCTGATTTGCATAAAGCTGAGCCGTGGTCAACTTTGTTGCATCGCAAATGGTTGATGTCGATCACGCCACCTCAAATCGCTAACTCTCTCCCTAAAAGGGTGGTTTTAAAAAATAGTCAGTTACTTATTCCTATCTTTTGCTGTAGTGCGTCAGTAGGAAATATCAGTTTAATTGTAAAAATCCAGTGAGATTTGTGTCTGACAACATCTGACAATCTCACTGGATTATTACAATTAATGGCAAAACGAATGTTTGTAAATGTAAACTGATATTTCCTACTGACACACTACAGCAAAAGATAGAAATAACTGACTTAAAACCATGTTTTAGCTGGTGAAGATACTAGTGTTCTAATCATTTTTGCCACCACTGTAACTGCAACAGCGGGCTTGTGTTGTGCTTTCACATTCACACTATTTTGTTACGTGGTGTGAAATATGCAATGAAAATTAATTTCAATGCACGACTTCTTTAAATGCTTCATACTGTCATTTGCCTAGAGAGTGCAAAAGATGTGCTTAAGCAGAATATTGTGGGTGATCAGTACTCACTGCTGGAGGAGGAAGACATGCGGCGCTGGGCAGGGGCCGGTGCGGTGGTGCTGGGTGGAGGAGGAGGAGGGGGCCGCTCTGATGGAAGAGGTGGAGGAGGAGGTGGAGTCGGGATGAAGGTGCTGGCGGGTGGGGGAGGAGGTGGAGGAGGAAGGGGCAGATCCTCTGTGTTTCCCGTTCCGTTCTCAGGAGCAGGCGCTGTGTCTGCTGCTTCCTCCAACAGTGCAGAACCCTGTCGAGAGAACAGGTAAGAGTGCAGCAGATTTCGATGTTTAAATATTTACTACTGGTTTTCTAACAGATGACCCAAAAATTAAAATGCTCACATCATGCAATCCTGGATGCTTATGACTTTCTTTCTTCTGATAAACACCATTTGTACAAAAAGAACCTCTCTGTGAGTCCACATATTGCAAGTGAAAAACACATACAGCCATGACAGTGTGACAATAATATGACCCCAGTACACTCTAAAAAATGCTGGGTTAAATACAACCCATTGCTGGGTAAAATAGGGAGAAACCCAGCAATTGGGTTGTTTTGACCCAGCGGTTGGGTTACTACCCAGAAGGTTGGGTTAAACATTTAACCCAACTGCTGGGTCAAAACAGTCCAATTGCTGGGTTTCTCCCTATTTTACCCAGCACTGGTTTGTATTTAACCCAGCATTTTTTAGAGTGTAGATGAATCAATGTTTTTTAGAGTGAAACAAGAAGTGTGTGTAAGAAAAACACAAATATTATAAACTTCGAATATACTTTTCCACTATAAATCATCAATTCATCAATTTATGTCAAGCTTCATAACATGTATACACTCTTAAAAATGCTGGGTTGTTTCAACCCAACTTTGGGTCAAATATGGACTAACCCAACTTTTGGGTTAAAAATTTAAATAAAATTTTTAACCCAAAAGTTGGGTTAGTCCATATTTGACCCAAAGTTGGGTTGAAACAACCCAGCATTTTTAAGAGTGATGCATTTACTTCAAACACACACTAGATCCTCTCTTGAATGTGCATATGAAGTATGTCCGGAAGCAATTAATTTTTTTATACACACCTATAATTTCGCTTCCGAAGACACTGATTCATCCCCCGCGGTTGTCCTGATGTCTGTGTGTGCTTTTTGAAGCACCAACATTCTGGTGCCTATTCACTTGCATTATATATGGATTTATTTAAAATGTTAACCCAACAGCTGGGTTAGTCCATATTTGACCCAAAGTTGGGTTGAAACAACCCAGCATTTTTAAGAGTGATGCATTTACTTCAAACACACACTAGATCCTCTCTTGAATGTGCATATGAAGTATGTCCGGAAGCAATTAATTTTTTTATACACACCTATAATTTCGCTTCCGAAGACACTGATTCATCCCCCGCGGTTGTCCTGATGTCTGTGTGTGCTTTTTGAAGCACCAACATTCTGGTGCCTATTCACTTGCATTATATATGGATGCACAGATACATATTATTTAGCTAAAAATTAGTTTTTTTAAAAGTCATATATATATAGATAGATCACTGTAAGATCTTCTGAAAAGTGTAAACACTGACATACACTGGTTTTGTGGAAGGAATATTTGTTTGTCCAATCAGTGGTTGATTGGGCAAAATGTTTGAGAAACTTGTTAAATAAAAAGCATTACTTTTTGCATTTTGATGGCACGACTGGCATAAAAGACAATCACTATATATATATATATTTTTTTTTATAAAGCCAAAATTGAAAGGCCTCTAAATGATCAACATAATTAAGACTTTGCTGAAAAGCCTGTTGTATGCAATCTTCTGCACGCTTTTTGACCACAGATTGATTGATCAAATTAATAGAATAATCATGATTATCAAACATAATACATCAGGTTTTTGAAGGATGTTTATTTGTTCATCTCTCAATCATATTGCATGTGTTTTGCTGCCCACAATAAAATCTACAGAGCTTTTATCATAAAACTAAACATTTAAATATCTTACTGGGAGATACAGAGTGACAATTGACATTTCTAGGCATTTTATTTCAAATAGTCTGTTATAAAGATCTCATTGATTTACAAGTTATCAGAATTTCACCTTAACTTTTTAGTTATATTAATATCAGCAACTGCTCCAAATTGCATATTTTTGCTCATTTTAGTCCTCTGAATATGCAAATGTGATTTTTTTTTTAAATATCTAGTTAGTCTAAAAGCTCAATAAACTGTTCCATTCCAAAAATTAAATAGATTTCTTTCTGATAATTATTTCATATGTCAGGTTTTACAGGCATAAAGGTCCATTTAAACATTTAATCACATTTTGGACACTAAAATGGTCATAGGCAGAATAACATTACAAATACACTTCCCCAAAACACTTAATCTGACCAACATGCCTCCCACTGTGCCCCACCATATGCATTGCAGCTGGTAATGAATACATAAATAGATCTAATTGAGTGGTTTGCTGGAATGAAAGGACATCTGCTAAGCTAAGAGCCACAATCCTTCACACTCAGCATCTCCAGAGACCACCCCTACAACTGACGCAGTGTAAACAAGCCCTGACCTTTCACCCCACGCACCCCCGCCTCCTGGACGCGTGCCACACACGTGCCCCTTATCCCCTCCTCATCATCACTGTCTCCAGCATATGGTGCATTTCATGTCGCACACATGTCCGTGTTAATGGGTCATTACCCAGAGGGACATGTGGAGCGCCATCTGGTTCAATCAAGTGGCCAGACGCCCCACTGGGCATCTAATTGGCTCAATGAAGATTAGATGTGATAGCAGAAAGGGGCCATATGAAATGCTGATATGTATTCTAGATCACATTGTGCGTGTTCATCACAGCGGTAAATGTTATGGCTCTGGAGAATTAATGGAGCTCTTCTTTATTCAAGTAACAAATTTGTCTCAAATGTGTTGCAAATATTTCTCATAAAAAATAGGATGCAAATGAGACAGTTGTTGACATACAAATTAGCACAGATCGGATAATGGATTTCTAAGTTAAGTGTCTCAGATGTTTCTCCTTATATTCCTTAGGATTACTTCAAGTCAAGTCACCGTTATTTAGATAGCACTTTTTACCTTCTTTTTGTTTGCAAAACAGCTTTGTGTCAAAGTAAATCTTCAAATAGACAGAAACAAGACATTTTTGTCATTACTTAGCCTCATGTTGTTACACTAAAAAATAAAATGTTAAAGGACTTACTTTGAAACAATTTTTACTCTGAAATTGCTAGTTTATTTCACAAATAATTACAAAGAAATGACAAGTAACAGTGAATGAATGAAATAAAAAAAAAAATTTAAGTAAAAAGCCTGAAATAGTCTTTTCTTGTAACACATACTCCCACTCTTTTATTTGCAACTTAAGTAGATTGTAGAAACTTTTGGCACCAGTGGTCTCTATCATCTTCTTACAGTATAGGCTTATGATGTTTTTGAGAAACATGAGTATGACTTTCTTTCTTGCATGGAACACAGAGGTTTAGTAGAATGTCCTAGCTGCTATTTTCCAAATAATATAAATATACAGGGACCAGGAATGTATTTGGTCACCATTCACTTTTAAAGGGAAAACAGCAGCTTGGACATTTTTCTAGATAACTCCTTTTGTGTTCCATGGAAGAAAGAAAGTCATAAAGGTTTGATATAATGGGGTTGAGTACAGTATGACAGAATTTGGTAACACTTAAGTACAGGGACCAATTCTCACTATTGACTAGTTTATTATTAACATATTGACTGTTTATTAGTACTTATAAAGCACATATTCTGCATGACCATATTCTACACCCCTAATCCTACCCAATACCAGCAAATTAGGAGTTTACTGAGGCAAAAGTCGTAGTTAATGGTTTGTTAATGGTGAGAATTGGACCTTAAAATAAAGTGTGACCCAGAATTTTCATTTTTGTGTGAACCACTCTTATATAAAAAAAGGAAAACCAAATTTGTTATCCAATCAATCTTTGTAGTCTAGAAGAAAAAACAATGCTATGTTAAAAATATATTCTTTCCCAAAGTATTCTGTCCTATGAGTCAAACTGCAGTTATAATAAGAGAAATCTGTGCTAGTAAATGGACAGTTCAAACACAATACTGCTAGATCCCAGCTGTCAGACTTACATAACACAACAAAGAAAAGACTGAGCACTGTTTACCCAGCAGCCCAATAAATGCTGAACTGCAGTGCTAACATGGCTGCCACACCTTGCATGGATTTGTGTTGTAATGTGACAGGTGAGGGAGTGAAGCTAGCTTGATTCAGACTGAAGAGAGCTGGCTGTCCCAGAAACAACTGCTTTCTGTTTGGTAACCATACTATTGATGGTCCCCATTGACTCCCATATTATGAAAAAAAAATACTGTGGAAGTCAATTGGGAACATTAACTGTTTGGTTACCCACATTCTTCAAATTGTCTTTCATGTTCCACAGAAGAGAGACACTTTTGGAACATTTCGAGGCGGAGTAAATTAAACTTTCTTTATTGGCTGAACTATCCCTATATATATATATATATATATATACCTCTGTATAGCTGAGATCACTAAAAACACCATTCCAAAATTCATACTTATGATGCACCAGCATATTGATAACTGTATGGATTCATACTTTGCACTGGAATTGGAGATACACAACCAGTCAAAAGTTTTTGAACAGTAAGATTTTTAATGTTTTTTTAAAAAGAATTCTCTTCTGCTCACCAATTCTGCATTTATTTGATCCAAAGTACAGCAATACAGTAAAATGTTGACATATTTTTACTATTCAAATAACTGTTTTCTATTTGAATATATTTTAAAATGTAATTTTATTCCTGTGATCAAAGCTGTATTTTTAGCATCATGACTCTTCAGTGTCACATGATCCTTCAGAAATCATTCTAATATGCTGATTTGCTGCTCAGGAATTATTATTATTATTAATTATATTCAAATAGATAACAGTTATTTTAAATAGTACAAATATTTCAAAATTGTACTGTTTTTGCTGTACTTTGGATCCAATCAATGCAGGCTTGGTGAGCAGAAGAGACTTCTTTAAGAAACATGTAAAAATATTACCGTACATGACCATGAAACAGAATCTGAGGTTTACCTCCTCGTTGGGTGCCATGGCTCTGTTGGGGTGCTGGTCTGCGGTATCGCTACCCAGGGTTTTGTAGTAATCCCCAGTGCTGGGCTGCTTGCTGAAGCTTCGGGACTTTCGATTAGAGTCGACTCTTCGAAGCCTTTCGTGGCCCTCGCCAGGATTCAGCTGCTGGAGAAATGAGCAGCACATGTTTATAGTAATAGAAACAACATGAACATGCTTGAGTTTACCAATCAGCCATTTAAAAACTTTTATTGATCAACCACTTCATCTCATCTGCAGCCCTCATCAGTGGTATTAGCTGTAAAACCCAACAAGAAATTGCCTTAAAACATTTAAGCTTAAAAAACAATATTTATGAGTGCTGTGAATTTATTTCAGGAGTTCACTAACAGTAGTATTTTTCAAAATTAATTTACGCTATGAACTGTACTCAAATATAAAACTAAAATTTGAACTGAAATTGAACTGAACTAAGCAAAAACATCATTAAAATTAGAGACATCAAATTAACTTGCAGTGGGTGTTGCAGTTCATCAGTCCAAAAGAAATTAATTAAAGCGCATCCATCCATAATAAAAAGTGCCTCACATGGCTCTGGGGGTGAACAAAGGCCTCCTGTAGCGAATCGATGCATATTTGTAAGAAAAGTAACCATTTTTCTTCTTCTTAATGTTTAACGGCGGTTGGCATCCAGTGTAATTGGTGCATTACAATAACCATATTTAAAGCGTAATAATCAATTTAATCTAGCTTGTGCTCACTGTTGTACACGGAAGCAGCTCTGGGCGGATGACGTAGGATGTCGGCGTTGTGCAACGGTCACGAATTAGAAGTACAAATCGAGGATTTGTAAAAAAGAATGTCAGAGGATTTCGATATAAGCCAAGAGGAGACTGGTTTTCCTTTGCTAAAGTAAGGAAACGTTGCTTCCTTTGATCCTGTTAACAAATGTTGGTTTTCAAGAGACTCACCGGCACATGCGCAAGGCTGAACTCATACGTCATCCACCCAGAGCTGCTGCCGTGTAGGACTGTTGGCGCAAGCTACATTAAAGTGATTATTACGTTTTGAATATGGATATTTTTCTTACACAAACGCATCGATTCGCTACAGGACGCCTTTGTTCACCCCCAGGAGCCGTGTGAGGCACTTTTTATTATGGATGGATGGGCTTTATTTCACTTCTTTTGGACTGATGAACTGCAACACCCGCTGAGTGCCATTAAACAGCTTGAAAGATCAAAGACCATTTTTAATATAACTCCGATTGGATTCATCTGAAAGAAGGAAGTCAAATACGCCTAGGATCGAGTAAATAATGGGCTAATTTTCATTTTTGGGTGAACTATCCCTTTAATATAACGAGCAAAAAGATTATCACAACATTGGTATGTGTACAGATATTGTGTTTTATATAAAGCAGCATGCAGTATGAATAAAGTCATGTTTTTGGCCCATCTTTGACCTAACCACAGGCACTAATCTTCAGTGCAATGATAACCTTCAAAACTTTAACACAGCAGAAGCAACTTTAAATCCTGACAAAACAGAACATTATCACTTACACTCACACATTTTTATTTATATGATTCTTGTGTAAAAACACATTTCATAACACTCCATTTTAACATTTACTCTCCTCATTAGGGTTGCAAAAAGGTGGACAATTTTCCAGGATTTTTTGGAATATTCCAGGGATTTTTTTTGGAAATGTTCCACCCCTTTGCAACCCTACTCCTTATACAGTCTAAAGCAAAGCATGATGGGAACTAGGTAAACTGTTTTAATTATTTAATTTATTATTATTATTATTATTTTACAGTGGGCATGGTGGAATAGGTAAACAAAAAACTATGGTTTTATTTTCAGTACTTTATTAGCTTAGAAAAACAGAAATATATTAAACATTTTATTGAATATATTAAATACATGAAAATATACTAGAACATGGGGAGGTGACAAATAATGTCTATGAACTGTTTTACCAACATCACAATTTTAGCTTTAAATTCTTATATATGTCAGGGAGTCTATATTTTAGACATCTAATGACTATTTTACACCATCAATTTGTAGCAAATACATGATGTAGTCTCTCAAATATTATGTGCTTATAAAAATAAAACAAAACAACTATGAATTGTTATAATACAGGAAATGTTTAACATAGTTCTAGATTAATTATAGCATGTCACACTGAGGAAACTATTGTCACTGAAATGTCATGTCGCCTTCACATATTTGAATACTGTCCTCCTGCCCACACACACGCCATAAAAAAAGTGGTTATATTGAGTTTTTATGAGATGGGCATTAGAAATGTCAGTGTGAAATTTGTCATATAATTTGTCAGGCAAAATTCTCCTTCACTGTTTGAAAATGGAACAAACCACTGCTATTTTTTAAACACAATTCTAGGACAAGAAGAAATCTGAATTTTCATCCCATATTGTTTCAGGCAATCCTTAATCCATTAAGCCACAAAAACTCTTAATAATTCCTATTGTGTTCATGTGGCAAAGCCTAACGTGACTCCAGCAGATTTGCCTGAAAACAAAAAGACTTTTCATGGCACAAAAGCTGAACTTAACATAGATTTCTAAGCTTCACAGAGGCAAATAACACAGCAGGCTACAAGAGAGACCGGCTGACCCCTTGAAAGCTGTTTCAGTGTCAATGCACCGAATGGTTTCACTTTCTGCAGCCGTCACTCACTTGTGTATGATATTGAATCTTCATCACTGATCTAAAACCAGTTTTATCCACCTGCCTTTAGGAGTACGGAAATGTCATTACAGCAATCACGGATGCGGTTTCGAGAGTTTCTAGAAATTTCCAACACAAAAAAGGTAATGCTTGGTTTTCCTGTTCTTAAGATTTTCCTAATGCAAAGTCTTTGAATTTGCATAGTAATCAACCTTATGCAATGCAATTCTAAAACAAATAAAGTCGCAGGATAGTGAAGCAAAGCAACAAATGTGAGCTGTTAATAAGCTGTTTAATGTGATACTGTCATTAAAAAAAAAAAAAAAAATGATGGTACCTTTCGTATAATAAATAACAAAACAATCCATTTCGGTCAAACAAAAGCAATATTGATTTCTATATTGATATCGATCTCTATCTGAAAGCAAATACACCCAATAAAAAAAACAACCATGACAAAGAATTAGAATTCTGTCATCTGTGGCTTTTTATTTCTCACGCCGGCCCTGAGGATGGTATTATCCATTCATGTCCTTCCAGCATCCAATTTGCATTGTTGTCTAAAGCACTGTCCTCCCTGCAGAGTTACTCCCAGTGTAACTCGAGTCAGCCCAGTGCAGATGGTTTGATTATCATACCTCAGGGAAATCGCTGCTTGAAAGGCTAGCTGACCTCTATACAATGTGGATGGACCTGAGCCTATTTCAAACCTGCTGAATTTTTCATCACCAGTCACCAATACGTATTCTTCAGGCTTCTGCATCGTGCAGCGACTCATCTAAAGATCTAAAGCATGTTCAGTAACGTTAGCTGAAGCTCACTTGAGTGAAGAACATGAATGCAGTGCTGTTCATGCATTTGAATGTTTATCTGATTCTGCATGCAATGCATTTGAAAGGTTTTCTAGGTTATCACAGTAGACAAGCAACCCGAGGCTACTGATCTTACGTAACTCAACACAAATAATAAACACACAGCCGTTGCATAGACAATTATATAATTTCACACAAAGCTGAAGTATCACAAGTCAACCAAACCAGCAGTTTTAACTCCTACTGCCATTACTACTTCTTCATCACAAAATAACACTGAATTGCAGTCTTACCCTTTCCGACTGCCCTTATTTCTTCCTACAGTGCTGTCACCCTACGCAAAGCTTTAAACCGAGAGCCGGTAGATGCTCAGGTGTCACTAGATCTCCATTCTGCTGTGCCTCATTCTACCTGATGCTCGCTTTGCCTTTCCCCGCCCCTCAGCCTCCCACCAAACAATCACGTCTCAGAGCGATGACTTCACTGCTCACCTGTTATCCAACCACAGGTCACAGTGCTCGTGGTCTCTTATGCAAAGCATTGTGACACAGTGGCCAAGCATGGCCGCTCCGGCTCGGCTTTCTCACCGGTAAAAGGATTGCATTATGCACACCGGCCACCAAAGAGAATCTGATTACAAATAAACGCGTTCAAAGGTAGCTGATTTATGGAAATAGCAAGCGGCAGTGTGTGATAAGACTGCAGCAGAGCCGTGTGGATTCAAAATGAAACGCAATGTGACTCTGCTGTTAAAGTGTATCAGAGTTATGTCAAATGAAGAACATTACATTTAAACCCAAGAGAGAATCCAGGTGGACTTGTATAGCATTCCAGTGTATGTGGAGCGAATCATAGCCTAATATGGGCCTGAGTTAGTAAATGGTGTGGTATTCAAATACATTAGAGCTCTATAAACAAACTAACCTTAAGTGAGCCGAACTAGACTTAACACAACCCAGAAATGTGCCAGTATGCGGCTGCTATGCATACTTATGTTACCATGGTACCCAAGAAAGAGGATGTTTTTCCTTGAGCACACAGTGTTTCTTTCAATGTTCTACCTTCTAAATAATGATACAGTCAATATTTGAGGGAGAATAAACAGCCTATATTATATTTCTCTCTGCATATATGAGTTTTACGCCTCTTCATGTAACATGAGCATAACAGATCTTTGTATTTCATTATATATTTTTTGTATCTATGTTGATGACAGCACAGATCATCTGATGAGAAAAATTTTCAAATTGAAATCTTTGGCATCTTGGAAAATTTGTGTGACATTGTTGAGATCTCTTATAAGACTAAAGATGCTAAACACTCTCTTTGCTCTGCATTTAATCCTATTGTGGTCTCAAATGAGATGAAGAAATCTCTCAATTTATTAAAAAAATTATAATAATAAAATTCAAACTGTGATGCGCTTGCACCACCTGAAAAGAAAGCACATATAATCTGTTAAACTAGTGTTTGATTGACAGCTCTAAATCCCGCCTCACATTCAGTCCCACCCAACTGCATCAGCTGCTCTGCAGCCTAAAGTCTTTGACCATAAAAGGAAAAGCAGACTGCATATGGTTTGAGGCGATAGAGTCTAGTAGTTTTCTTCATTACTTATTGAAGTATTTATTTTCATTAGAAGTTGTATGTATTTCAGCTCATTAAAGTTCATTATGGACTGGATTAAGTCAGTCTAGGTCATATAATATCACTATAATGCACTTATACACTGTAAAAAAAATAAAATAAAAGCTACTACATATTTTTCAGTTTACAGGACTTTTGAGTAACACAAAGACACACGTACACTATATGTATAAATTTGCACTTGCCATGATGAATTATAGGTCGAATCAGGTATTTTGCATTTAGTGAACGGACAAATTTAAACTGGCAAAACAAAGTAGTGTTACTTACAATTATGAAGACAGTAGTTGAAAGATCTTTCAGAAAAATCTGCATTATGTTGCCTTGATGTTTTTAACTTTTCAACCATATCTATTTAACATTGCATTCAAATAGAGGTCCAAGGCATTTCAAAGGGTTTAGCAGAAATACAGGTTGTAAATTATGTTTTGAGTCTATATGTTCATAAATATGAATATTTTAACATTTATTCCAGTGTATTGTCCATAGACTGGTGCACAGTAGTGCATGACTGTCTTTTTTTTTTACAGGTACTGAGATCTGAGGGATATATTTGTATTTGCATCTGTGCCATTATGATAATGATCATCTGCTAAAAAGTGGGGGATTTTCTAAAGTGGCCAGACTCAACACTGTGTCTCAGTGGAAGACATACTGTCTGAGAGAAGACATTGTGTCATTTTGGGGGTCAGAGTTCATGGACAGGGTCTAGCTGAATGTTTCATTACGCCTTGAATAACGTAATAATGAATGACAAAACTTTACCTGCACTGCTTAAGTGCTTCAAATTGGAGAGCTGAATTCATCATAAAATGTGTGGCGAAGCAAGCCAATGAAAATGAATCAAAATTACATTCAGACACATCAAGATATTTTGGGGGCCTCTGAATTCTTATATTAATTGCATACTAAGTGAAGTGTTAAATTCTGCTGTGTTTCTCATCAGTTAGTCCAGCAACCATCCAAACAAGTTTTGATGGGAAGATCTGCGCTACTACTTCAAATACTTAACATGCAAACATAGAAGACAAAAAGTGCATTATCTGCTCTTCATACTCCAACAATAGTACTGCAACACAGCTGAACTCCCTGTAATGATCAGAAAATGTGTGTGTTGGGATGTGCTGGCAGCTTCTGACAGTTTAATTAGTTAAATTAATGTCAAGTCCATCATGCAGCACATCATTAGAGCTTTTGGGAGGTCAGCTCGGCTAATGGAAGCCCTCATTAACGGGAACACAAAAGTAGCATTGTGTTTTTGTCTATATGAGTGTGTGAATCCATTCCGTGTGTGTGCACCTGCTCTGGGCTTTGATTAGCGAGCACAGGGCTGTTTTTTAATGCACAGATTGAGGTTTGTTGGCCAGACAACAGAAGATACATTGCTAGTCTGATTCTTTCTAATGGCCACTGTGCACCACTGTGTTATTTATGAGAAACCGCTGTGATTACGTTCATGTACGATTGATTAGACCATATTGTGCTGCTTTACTGTCAAAGCTAACCGAGGTGTTATTTTACACCTACATATGTATTCCATGCCAATTAAAAAAGGATGAGCTGACGGTAAGTGTGTGTTAATTAGACGTTTCAGTGTTAAATCCACAGGGAATGTTTTGCTATTATAGAATGACTAAAGCTCTATGGATTATTTAGTTACACAGGGATGCAAGCTGGTCTTTGTAATTAAGTGAGCTGTATAATCATCATATCATATTGCCTGAATGCACTTATTTGAACTTTTTAAGACGTTCAGTCATTAACATCACAATGGTGGTTGAAATTTCCCAAAATATTCTGAAATCTAACTAAAGATTTTAATACCTAGTCATTTTAAAGACAACTTGAAACGGCATTCACAAACCAGTTTACTTCTGTATTGCGACGTATTTTACAGAATGCATTGTGAAAGCTAAAAAATTTTAAATAAATAAAATAAGGTTACACTTTAGTTTGGGGACCAGTTCTTACTTTTTCCTTAATAAACTCCTAATTTGCTGCATATTAATAGTTAGTAAAGGAGTTGTTAAGTTTATGCATGGGGTAGGATTAGGGATGAAGAATAAGGCATTAATATGTGCTTTATACGTACTAATAAACAGCCAATATGTTAGTAATATGCATGCTAATTGATCTCTAAAGTGTTACCGAAAATAAATAAATAATTAACGATGAAGGATAAGTCAAAACTAGATTATAAATATACATTTCATGATACGAGTCATTTCAAAGCAGCTTTATAGAAAATGATGCTAATGTTTATATAATATCTTCATGCCTTATAGTCTAATTTAGTATATCAGAGCTGGACGATAATATAGTTTACATGTTGCAATGATAAAATCAATCAAACACGCCCTACGTGAGCACAGCCTACCGTATGCATGCAGATACTCACACAGGGCAGTATATTTAAGACAAAGCAAGTACTGTACCACAATCAATTCTGTGAGTTATGTCTCTTGTGCACTTCACATGAGTAGTGCTATTTTGCGTGCCATGCAGAGTTGCCTATGAGCATTTTAAATCAGTCTCCGTTTCAGCTGGACTGTCTTTGTGTTGTGGTAGAAGAAGTCATTTGCAGTCCTGTTCTGATCGTGAGCCTGACATGCATGAGAGACAATACGATGCACGAATCCTGGATTATATTTATTTCCTGTAAATGCTTTTATTCTATACTGTCCATTAGTACAATATGATTCCTTTATATTCTGTGAATAAACATTGTGTTTCAGGTCTTTAGTCGTCATGGCTTCGTGTCTGTTTGGTCAACAGCAACACATCAGATGATGACTCACTAGAGGCCCTGTGCGCTGCATTTATGGTGCTCAGAACTCAGCGCTAAACAAAATAAACTATGATCTTTTTAAAGGGGTCATGAAATGCATGTTCAGATCTTTATATATGTTTCTAGAGGTTAGTTTATAAAGGTTTTTTGCATCAAAAAGTTCAAATATTTGTAAAAATGATCATTTTCCATTCTTTCCATCATCTGTCTCACAAACACAAGTAAGCACCAATGCTGTGAATGAAGTTCATTGCACCGTATCCGCGCTCTCCTCCACAGCAAGAGATGGCCAGCGTTGTAATAGTGGTGTATGTTTAAACCACACAAAAGAAAATGAACCAATGCAACCACAACTGTCTATAATCTGTATAAATATAATATTATTATTATAACATATATACCTAATACTGCTACATTATAAAACTTACAGCTATATGATAAACTATATGATATCATGTTAAGTACAATTAAGAAAAGAGTGTGTTGCAAAATGATACAAACAAAAACATTTTTGTTAAATCACTCAGGCAAAAAAATATATATAATAATAATAATAATTTAAAAAAAGATAAACTTCAGCCATGCATTTCTAATAGATTAATCTTTTCGAAGGGTATGCACAGTTTTTGGAGGCTCAGTCTGTCTACATCCAGGGACAGAACAACGTCAGACTTTTTTCTTGCTTTAGTGATTGATTGACAGACATGGGTTATTAAAAGCACACTGCCTTGATTTACATACGCATGTTAAGGGGAGTGTAGAGGACAAACGTGACATCATGAATGGGGTGATTTCAAATTCTGGCATTTCAGAAGTGTGGACAACAAAAACATCGTATTTTAAACTAGAATCAGGGATAATATCTTTCATTGAATCTACAGTAAGTAGATCCACTTCAGCTAATTACTCTTCAGCAGTGATGTTACAGATCTACCACAAAAACCGAAGTTCAAAGACGAAAATAATAAATTCTGCATACTTGTTTCTCTGACACATAAGGTCTATAGACAACGTTAATCATTTTTCAATTTGTCAATATTGGATGAGAATTGTCCAATACTGTATATTTTATTGTGAACTTTTGTTTTCTGCCTGTACAAGGTATTGTGAATGTAACAATAGCAGAGCTGTGTGTTCATTAAAAAATGGGAAGGAGACCACGAACAGAAAAAGAGAGTTATCATAACATTCAAAATTGGAAAGTCCCGGTTCTTTAGTTATAAGTGCCAAACGCCTTTTTGAGTCTAAAATGTATTTGTTGATCTTTTTATAAGTACACTTGCATAAAGATGCCCTCAGAGTTAACAGATATGAACTTGAGTCACAAATTACAGTTTTGATTTCATTTCTACAGCAGTCACAGATTTCAGGAATGAGCCATTGGGAACTGGGGAGGGGATTCTAAAAGTACATTTTTATACTTTAGTAAGCGGAATAGAACACTGCACTCTTATATTTTTATAAGATGAAAGAAAATGCAGGATATTACAACTTTATGACTGATTTTTTTTTTAAAGAAAATATATAGCATACCTCGTTTTTGACTACATCATTGTCGACTCGGCGAAGGTTCCTCTTCACCTTCAGGTACTCGGCAGACTCCTCCTCCTCCGGTGGTTTGGGTGGGGGGTAGGCAGGTGGGGGAGGGGGGATGTGGGAGGAGTCTGATGGAGGAGGGGGAGGGGGAAATGTTGGAGGGGGCGGCAGGTGTGCAGGATGTTCATTTGCATTCTGGGAGCCGTCTGCTACATCAGGGTTCAGCATGTCCATATAGGCCTGCATGTCTGTAATGGCCGAATCTTCACCTCCTGCAATAAAACACATTTCTTTAATCATTTATTAAGACAAACATCACCCAGACAGACATACAGACAGACAAAATGTATTAGATTACAAGCAAGATGTATTCTATATTTATGAACGGTATTCACAAGTGCTGCTCCAATCATGAGGTCATATACACTATAGTAATAAAAAGTCTGGGCACACCTCATTTGTTATTATTACCACTAATCCACAATTAAGAATAATACATAAAATAATACACATAAATGGAAGTATGGAAATTATGAAGTGATAAAAAATGTTAGAATTTTTTTTTTTACGATCATTGAAAGATTAAAATCATAACATATTTCAGTCAGGACATTTTTGACTGGTAGTGAAAGTATAATCATGTACGGCTCTGTTGTATATGGATGTCCTAAATGTGTCCACTAGAGGACATTACTGGGACGCCTCACAGCAGGTCGCCTGGACAACACTATGGGAACATTGTTCTGAACCAGTTCTGCTTCAGCGAGCTCAACTTTTCCCACCATTGTTAATATAATGCTTCAAACACACTGCATTGAGCAAACGTATACGCTGAGAAGGTGGGGTAATGTCAGTTTAGAGGGGGGAGATCAAAACACACAGCAATGCAGGAAGAGAACATTTTGTATCAAGTTAATTAGGAGATTTTATATGAATGAATTTCAGTAGACAGTCTGAATTCATTTGATCAAAAATACAGTAAAACCAGTAATATCATTACAATTTAAAACAACCATTTCCTGTTTTAATATATTTTAAAATGCATTCCTGTGCGGACAAAGCTGAATTTTTCTCCAGTCTTCACATGATTCATTAATTATTCGAATATATGGATTTGCTGCTCAAGAAACATTTCTTATTATTATCAATGTTGGAAACAATTGTGCTGCTTCATATTTTTGTGTAAACCATGATACATTTTTTCAGGATTCTTGATGAATAGAAAGTTCAAAAGAACAGCATTCAGTCACACTTTAGTTTAAGGACCAATTCTCACTATTAACTATTAACTATGACTGTTAAGTCATTAAGGGATCATTAAGGGGTCTAAAATATGATAACACAGAATAAGGCATTAATATGCGTCAATAATGTGCATGCTAATAAGCAACCAAATAATAGTGAGAATTGGGCCCTAAACTAAAGTGTTACCCAGCATGCATTTGAAATATACTCTAAATCTTTTCTAAAAATTATGAATGTATTTACTGTCAGTTTTCATCAACTCAATGCATCCTTGCTGAATAAAAGTATTAATTTCTTTAAAAAAATGTTACTGACCCCAAACTTATATCCCACTGATTCTTGAGACATGGGACAAAACATGTCCAGCAACTGGAACTGCTATTAGGTTTAAACATGAAAATATTTTCAATTGTAAATGTTATGGGGGATTAATAATAGAATGTATTTAACACAATTATCCCCTTCAGTTTATTTTTTTATCATTATTATATCAAATCTATGACACTTATCGTCTTCTCACAATCTCACTACATCTAAAACAGTGTGTCCACAGAGAAGGGGTTAATCATTCATTTGCTATAAAATGGATTAGAAATGTTTGTTTTTTTAATGATGAAAAAGAGCTTGTTTTATCAAAAGCAGCACGTAATAATATCTAATATTAAAGCAAGGTTGTTTTTCAATGACACATGCGTGTTTCATAAGGTTTCAAAGTTGTGTCCCCACTTTTTGTCAACACCGTCAGACATTCATTAAAATGTAATAACATCAGGGAATATCAGGGGCAGCAGTCACTCTAAAGGACCCCCTTGCCACATTCCTCCTCTGCAGAGTACATCAGTGTCAGACAGGCTCAGTTTTTTTTAGGATTTTAAATCCTAATGCTATTATCTTCCCATTTCTGAGGAAATTATTTGAAATATTTACATAATGCTATTCTCTTGAAGCAGGTTCTATTAGCATCTAGCAAGAGAAAAAAAAACTCCATTTGTTTTCTGAAAGAAATGCCAAATTTGTTAACACCGTCAGATGTCACCACCGTAAGATTTTCTGTCTGACGGTGGTGACAGGCCAATGACGGAGCTGACATTCAACGTGAACTCCTCATATTTTTGTGGTTTTTAAGTAATTTTTAATTATATTAAATATAAAATAGTGTTTAATTTCTCTAATAATGTATAAATACTACATACAGTATGTGACCTGACAGCATATATTGCGTTTGTGGACTGATAGTCATTGCTTCTATCAGGGTTAGGGTTGAGGGAACATAAGATTCAGGGAACATAAGGCTGAGGGAACACAAACACATCTATACATAATACAGTTAATTTGTATTCTAATGATTCATATGTGCTCTGATCATTTTTGGATCATTTGTTAAGATGTTTAAATCTGAATATTAAGATCCTGGTGAATGTAAATGGATAGAGGTAACAACTAATTATTTTATTTGTTCAACCGTTTTTAAAAGTTACAGTGTAGATGCACAGCTGACACACTGTTCTGAGATGAGAGAAAATAGATCACTGTGTTCCAAAGATAAATCAAAATACTTAAATGTGAATATATCTTCCCATTTCTGAGGAAATTATTTGAAATATTTACATAATGCTATTCTCTTGAAGCAGGTTCTATTAGCATCTAGCAAGAGAAAAAAAAACTCCATAAGTAAGTAATGATTTTTAATTTAAAAAAATTTAAGTAATTTTTAATTATATTAAATATAAAATAGTGTTTAATTTCTCTAATAATGTATAAATACTACATACAGTATGTGACCTGACAGCATATATTGCGTTTGTGGACTGATAGTCATTGCTTCTATCAGGGTTAGGGTTGAGGGAACATAAGATTCAGGGAACATAAGGCTGAGGGAACACAAACACATCTATACATAATACAGTTAATTTGTATTCTAATGATTCATATGTGCTCTGATCATTTTTGGATCATTTGTTAAGATGTTTAAATCTGAATATTAAGATCCTGGTGAATGTAAATGGATAGAGGTAACAACTAATTATTTTATTTGTTCAACCGTTTTTAAAAGTTACAGTGTAGATGCACAGCTGACACACTGTTCTGAGATGAGAGAAAATAGATCACTGTGTTCCAAAGATAAATCAAAATACTTAAATGTGAATCTTCAATAAACAATAACAAATTCTCTGTTTGTTGTGCTTGTTTTAATACAGTAATTGATTGATTCGATTTATTAGATAGTTAAAATGATCACGAATTCAGGCTTTCGTTCACCACCGTCAGATGTGTCAACTCTGTCAGAGCTGTCACCTCCGTCAGATGAATATTTTGATAATATTTCATTGTGATATTTTATATTTGTTGAGGAATTGTTGGTCACATGTGAAAGTGTAATCTGTCTGCTAACATGAGAATGTTTTTTGAAATGTTAAAATCTTGAATGCTGTTAAAGATAAAGTTGAAATTATATTACACGGTCCAAGGTAAAAATCACATTTTGATAAAAAAAGAGAAAAGTTGGGAGGTTGCATCAAAGCATAGCTCAGTAGCTTAGTACATATAAGACACATGAATGTAGTTTCATTTGTCTGAGTGCAAGGTTTTATTTTTTCAATTTTGCACGCTGTTTCTCACTTCTCAAGAATCGGTGAAACATATATATTAGCATAATATTAGCAAAAGTAGCGCAAACGCAATTATACAGAGAGCTCATTGGTGTGTTTCTCTGACCTGTCGGTTCTCGTGAGGGAGGCGTGCCATTCCTCTTCTCTCCAGTACTGGATTGGCTGGAGTTTGCCGAGTCATAATTGGACAGCGAGCTGGAGGGTGAGCAGATGTTGAAATGGACCGCGGTAGGGGCTGGGGTGGGCAGGGTGGCATTCGGAGAGGAGAGGCCTGAGTCGGGCTGTTTATACTCCAGATCTGCCGAAGGGTCCCGGGACAAGACTCGGTGCTCCACACTCTGAGACGAAAGCTAGTGTTATAGACAGGCGTAGAATAGTGACTCTTATTTACTCACCCTCATGCTGTTCCTAACCTGCATGAATTTCTTTCAGCTATAGAACACAAAAATAAGGTGTCCTTGTTACACGTTACATGTACTTACTATTATAACAACAATAAATTATGCATAATTACATGCAAGTAACCCTAAGCCAAACCCTAATCCTAACCCTAACCATGTAGTAAGTACATGTAGTTAATTAATATTACTCAGTAGTTAAATGTATAACTACTCCTCTGAGCGATTTATCTAAACACAAACGAAAAAGTAGGCCTATATGATTCTTAAAGTTCATGTGGTCATATAGCCTATTGTGCACTTGGATTGAAATAAATAAATAAAAAAATAATTATTAAATAAATAATAATTTTCTGATTAAGGACAGATTAAGATAAGGGTCAGATGCACTATTCCCTATACTTAAGATGTGGAGACCAAATATAACACTATAATGAATTTCCTATATTTGTCATAACATTACTACAGACAATGTAATTACATGTAACTGTCATATAACTGTATATTCACTGTTTGAGAGTACCATTGAATGTGTAGCTAATATAAAGTGGGTTATCATGAAAAAAAAATCTAACTAAAATAATAATATTAAACTATGAATCACATAAATCATGACAAAATAACAGCAGGTATGTAGTAGATTACGTACAAGCTTTTCAGCAAAGTTTTGAATGGGGGGGGATGACTGCTGACTGCATTTCTACAGTTTCTACTTTTGTGTTATATGCAAATATTAAAGGCTAAACAAAGCAAACAAGCAAATTACCAAAAATAAAGAAAACATTTAATTAACATATTTTGTAGTACTGAGAATGTAAACAGAGATAAGTGAGCATTTGTAATAAGAATTTAATTTGCTTTTGTTGTAAAACTCTTGTTTAAGACTGCTTTATGGTTGTGTCTGTGCTGTTTCTCACCATGTTTTCAACGGTGCGAATGTACTTGGCACACTGCTGATGCCCGTTGTATTCAGCCAGGTCTGCCGCTGAGAATCCATCCTGGTCCCGTATCCCCATGTCCACTCCATTCACTACCAGAATCTGACAGCACTGCACAGAGAAACAGACATTTACATTAACACCCAGATAGACTAGATAATCTGGGGCTGTTTTATTCAATAGATTTACCGCTGTCTGCTAAAGCAAGCATTACTATTCCTATTGCTCATTCATAAAGTTAAGGATGTGAACAAACAGAATTGTGCACATATTCATGACTAAACGACATCTGTTGAAAAAGTGTGTGCTCGTTCTGAAGGGTGTAAATATTTGTCTGTTTGAGAAAGAGAGTTGAGTAAAGTATGAGTGGTGTTCATGAATGCAGTAAAAGGGTACTTTGTTAATGACAGCTGTCATGCGTTTGGCCCTCAGGTGGAGAACAAGAGACAATACTCTCTGAAAGTTTCTGTGTTCAGATGGATAATGTTACAAACCAATAAAGGTGCCGCACGACTGTGGAAAGTTCCGAGCACTAAAGTTTACAGCACTTTCACAATAATATCATACAGGTTATGGTATAAACACTTTTTTTCTTAATTATGTATTAAGAATGTATTAATTCTAATTATAGTAAATTCTAATAAAAGTGTTTGCCTGATAACTAAAGGATGAAGGTGAATACAAATGTTATATCATAAAAAAATACGAACACAGAAAAAAAAATCACAAACTAAGCATCATTTAGCCAACGAACGATACAACATTAGAACAGAATAAGGCTCAGGTTGCTGAATAAATAAATGCAACAAATAAAGCATATAACAATTATTAAATATAACATGAAAAATGCATAATAATTGCAATAATAATTCTTTATAATATATTGTACATACAGAAAGGAAAAATAATTTCATTTTTAACTCAACTAAACTTTCTATTGAATTACTATAGACTTGCTGAGAGTGTATACTAACCAAACTTTGCATGCAATGTCACTATAATATGTATAATATGTCACTTATTTCTCATAAATCATCTATTTTATTAAAGTTATGTATTATTCCAAGAGTTCACAAATGTGATGTTTTTTTTCAAGTCAAAGTCAAACCATAGATGCTCTTATAAAGTAAATCACCAAAACAGACATTTGATAATATTAAACTACAGTATACTGCAAAATACTGCTCATCATGCTAGGTTATATAGCACACCTGGCTAAAATGACGCACCTCTAGTTTGCAATGCCAACAAACAGTTTTGTGCAATGTTAAGTAGCTGCATTGAATGAAGGATAAAACAGGACTTCTAAATAATTAAAAGTATCCAAAATGTAAAGTTTTAGTTACACATGATTGTTAGATCAAATCTCCACATCAGAAATAAAGCAACTAGCATTTATAGACAGATTTTTTTAGGTTATAGTTTATAAAAGAGACTTCAAAATGTAATGTTCAAAAATCAATCTTTTTTTATTATTATTATTTTACTCAAGTAATAGTCAAGATATAGCTTCTCTTTTTATATAATTATACAATACACAACTAAAACAGACATTTGCTTTATATTATAGATTATTTAGAACATTACCTCAATTTAGTTGTACATCTTGGCATTCCATCTCAGATGAAACAGTTTGAGTGGAAGATCTCATTAAATTATTTGTACCACAATGACTCTGTTATCATATGTTGTATATAGTCAACATTAAATCAGTTGACCCCATTTACTTATTTACTTCATTTACATGTACCTGATCTTATTGTGCATGCATAATTTTTCTTTTCTTTGTTTTCTAAAAAAAAAAAAATTTGTCTTTAAAAAATAAATATTATTTTGGCAGTGAAAAAAAGATACTGACCAATAATAACTACAATAATAAAAATAGTTAAATGTACTGCAAATGCATTTTCCTATTTTAACCCTAAATACATTATACTAAAAGAAAGTGTTCACAATTCACAAATAGTTTTAAATTCCTAAGGTTGTAATATCACAATATAATTTCTCACTGTCTGATGTGTTTTAGATGTCAGAGCTGTAATTACTATTGCAGTTGCATTTGCAAGGCAAGAAACATTCACATAAGAGTAGTTTCTCTTACATACCTCCAGCTCTCCGTTCTCGGCTGCGTCATGAAGAGGCGTCCCACCCCAGCTGTCCGTCACTATCTCCCCGCCATGCAGCAGCAGCCAGCTGAGAACCTTGGCATGGCCGCGGCTGGCAGCAAAGTGCATGGCAGTGGCCCCATCATTGTCTCTGTCAGACAGGCTGATTTCTGTGAAACTCATCTATACAAGACAAAAAGTAAGAAGTAGTTAGTACAGACATGATAAAATGTTTCTTTTCCCTGTTTGTTGACTTCTTAATATGCAGGTCATGTAAATATCCAACAAGTCTGATCAAGAACCTACAGATATGATGTTAAATTATACTGCAAAATACTGCTCATCATAGTAGCTCATATAGCACACCTGGCTGAAATAATGCACCTTTAGTTTGCAATGCCAACAAACAGTTTCGTTCAATGTCAAGTAATTAAAGAGAATGAAGGATAAAACAAGTCTTCTAAAGAACTTAAACTGTCAGATCCTGCCAGGAGAGATCCCTTTTGTCTGGTAACCAAAACCCAGCCACTGAAGTTTTGTCCGGCACCCAAAAACTGTTAACAGCAAATCGTTTCTGGTACCCAAAATCACATGTGCTTTCACACAAAATTGCTTCACATCAATATCCCATCCCATTAAACCTTGAAACTGTCATATTTTGCCTTATCTTTTTTTCGTGAAGACGAACACTCCATGAAACGCCACAATCACAGATTAAACAACAGTAGCACGCATTGCAAGAGCAAGGAAATTATAATAAATAATATTAAATGTAAAAAAACATAATAAAAATTATGATAAATGATATAAATGAAATGATAAATTACATAAACGACTAATGATTATAAACGTAATGATAAAAAACATAAATGACTAATGATTACAAAACAAATGTAAGAACATGAAGAAAATCAAACAAAGTTTCTGGTTGCTCTCTGAAAGCTACACACACATAGGTTGCTATACTGAAACAGATCCTTAGATCTTTCAACATTAACAAAACAACTAGGTTTCTATCATTTTTATTTAAATTTCTCACAAATTTGGATGCTTTTCAGTAACATTTGGTAGTTGTTGCTGGAGAACTTGCATATGTGGTATTTATGGTACCTGTTCCATTCTTGTGAAAGTGAAAATTATTTTCTGTGACAATCAACATTTAGGGCCCTATTTTAACGATTTAAGCGCATGGTCTAAACCGTATGGCAGGTGCACTTAGGGCGTGTCCAAATCCACTTTTGCTAGTTTAACGACGGGAAAAACGGTCGGTGCACCCGGAGTATGGTCTAAAAGGGTTGTCCCTATTCTCTTAATGAGTAATGGGTGTGTTTTGGGCATAACGTCCAATAAACCAATCAGAGTCTCATCTCCCATTCCCTTTAAGAGCCAGTTGCGCTCGTGCCATGGCGGATTTGCTATTTACATGGCAGAATTTGCAAGCGCAAAGACAGAACGCGCCTCCAGAGATGAAACGGAGCTGCTCGTGCGCAAGCAAATAGGTAGCCTAATTCTGATACTTGCAATGACTATTTGGGGGGCTGGGGGTTGAGTGGGGTATGAGTGGTTACGAACAAATGAATGAAACGCATTTGTCCATGTTTCACTCCGTCTCGAATTGCGCTCGCAGAAAGCGCTTGAAAAACAGTGTCTCTTCCGTGGCTCGGTACGCTTTAAACTCGTTTTTTAGTCTCGAGCAAGACTGTACGACATTCATGATTTGACTGATTTTTACGTAGAAAGGTCGACAGCACACCACATTAAAATAAATGATCATTCATGTTTTCATAACCGCTGATAAAATTCAAAAACAAAACTAAAATGAAATCATCTTTGAGAGCAAGGGGGCCCCCTGGTGTTTCGGGGGCCCTAAGCAGCTTGCATATTTTGCATATAGGGAGGATCGGCTCTGACTGAACGGTCAGGCCAACTTGTGAATAAAAGCTGTTTTTGACTCACCAGCCAGACAATGACAGTGTTGTGTCCCATCTGGGCAGCAGCGTGCAATGGTGTCATCCCATCATTGGCTCTGATACTTGGCTCCGCCCCGCAGTCCTTCACTAAGTATTGGACGACTTCCAGGTGGCCCTCCTGACATGCAAGGTATAGTGGTGTGGCACCATTCTTAGTTTGGAAATTGACAACTCTAAAACACATGCAAAAACACAAAAACAAGGAAATTAGACATTTAAATAGAAGTTGATTAGAGATATGACAAATGTTTAATGTTGTTTCTATATCAATAGGACTTCTATCTCCTAACAGTCGTGTAAACATCCTTTTTGAGTGTAAAAACACGGAACATGAGCAAAACCCTGACCCTTCAAAATCATATATTACTACTTTCAATTACAGCATTACTGCATGTGTTTATACTGACATTTAATGATACTATGACAGCAGAAAGTAGCTAACTAGCCTAACAGAACCCCCGATAATATTTCATATTATCTCACCACCATGATACAAGGGTGTTATCAGTGTCGAGCCCATATTTACTAAACTGTTAGCATGTTGCTGTTAGGTCGCTTGGGTTTTTGGCTTGTTAATGCACTGTTATTGTGGTTTCTTGGTGGTTGATTTTTGTCTGAAGTCAAAAGAAGCCACCCTCAAATCTATGATATTCTGGTTTCTAGATATGACTCCTTCAGAGTAAATCTGTCTTTTCTCATTCTTTTCCTTGTTATATCATCATGGCAGGTCAGGCAAAGATGAGGAGATGTAGATTAAGGTGCAGTTTAATGTAGCGAATCAGCTCATGGGGAAATATGAATAATTAACCATAACTAGTTATAATTTACTTTAACCAAAATAAAAACAAGACAATCCAACTTAATAGGAATCAACCTAAGATCTTCCCAGCTGGTAAAGACAATACCAGACAGAGAACTAAACCGAACAGGGGAATATAAAGCTGCGTTCACGCCATGTCGTAATTACCATAATTACGAGATGACAACACGTGACATTCTACTCGGAGCTGAAATATGTGTTTCTATAGCCGGGTTATATGTTTGTGGTAATTATGACATGGCGTGAACGCAGTATAAATACAGAAGACAACAAGGAGTGAAACAAGGCACAGGTGGGACTGATCAATAACCAAGGCAACAGATGACATTCTCACAGAAACTAACAACAGGAACTAAAGGAACTCAGATGAAAACAGAAACAACAGAACAAAACTATCAAAATAAGAGTCTTGGATGAACCAAAACTGACATATCATCTGCATAGTAAGACAGAAGAGTAACAAGCTTTAAGATTTTATGGCTTTTGTGTTCACAGCATAAAAGTTTGAAAGACAGCTTGAGGAGATTTGTGGCATTAATCTTCCAACTTTTGTTTTTCCAATGGCAGATTATAAAATAAAGGCAAACATGGAGTCTCATACACGTACATTGAGGGAGAGGCCCAAACCATATATATATAGCCAAGAATATCAGAGACTTAAGAGAGGACTTTTGACTATAAACAACCACAAAGACAACAAGCACCCCTCAGAACATGTCAAAATGGTTTGTGTTCAAAGTGTACAACAAATCTGACACGTGCACTTAGAATGCTAATTTGTATATCTGCTAGTTCAACCAACATTTAACAGCAATTCTCTAAATTTTTGCACCTTGATCCAAAAAAAAAAAAAAAAATTCAAAGATTTACAATCCATATTAAAATGGGTTTACTGGAGTATCGTGTTGTCACGGGTCATGGTGCGGAGGAAGCACACGGAGAGGCAGGAATCCACGATAGAGTCTTTAATTATCAAAACAAGAACAAAACACTCTGAAACTGAGGGAGACCACAACCACGATACAAATTTAATGCAAGACAAGGGAACTGAGGAAAACACAGGGCTTATAAACACATGGAACGTAATCAGGGAGAACAGAAACAGGTGAGTAATCAATCAAAACAGGTGAGCAGAATAAACGATGATAAACTAAATGAGAACAGGAACTGAACCAAATAGGGACAAACAGGAACTAAACAGAAACAAACATGTAACGGATAACGGCCCCCTCCGAAAGGCACGACCTCATGCCACATAACATCGAGGAGTGGGAGGGTGGGCGCCTTGGAGGTCCCATGGCGGAGAAGACAGTTCAGGTTGCCATGGCGGATCCTCCATGGCATTAAGCAACACAGGGGCAGGAGCCCTCACTGGACACAGGGCTTATAAACACATGGCACGTAATCAGGGAGAACAGAAACAGGTGAGGAGTAATCAATCAAAACAGGTGAGCAGAATAAACGATGATAAACTAAATGAGAACAGGAACTGAACCAAATAGGGACAAACAGGAACTAAACAGAAACAAACATGTAACGGATAACGGCCCCCTCCGAAAGGCACGACCTCATGCCACATAACATCGAGGAGTGGGAGGGTGGGCGCCTTGGAGGTCCCATGGCGGAGAAGACAGTTCAGGTTGCCATGGCGGATCCTCCATGGCATTAAGCAACACAGGGGCAGGAGCCCTCACTGGGCTAACCTCGGGAACAGGAACCCTCCGTGGGCTATACTCGGGAGCTGGAGCCCTCCGTGGGCTAGCCTCGGGAGCTGGAGCCCTCCGTGGGCTAGCCTCGGGAGCTGGAGCCCTCCGTGAGCTAGCCTCGGGAGCTGGAGCCCACTCTGGGCTGGATTCGGGGACTGGGAAGCGCTTTCGAGGAGCTGGCACTGGAGGGTGCTCTGGAGGAGCAGGCACAGCAAGGCGCTTTCGAGGAGCTGGCACTGGCGGGAACTCAGGGGCTGGAGCCGACACTGGAGCATGCCTAGGGACCAGAACCAACCGCCATCTCCTCCTCAGATTCCCCTCTAGGCTCGGGGTGAAAGACGCGGCTGGTGGGCTTGCCGTTGCGGTGACCGGCAGGCTTGGGTCAATGGCGGCCGGCGGTCTTGACAACTGCGTGGCTGGCGGGCCTATCTCCGGAGCGGCCGGCAGGCTGGAGTGAGCCGCGGCCAGCGGGCTTGACTTTGGAGTGGCGAAACGTGCGGCGGTTTCCATGCCATGGGGGAAAAAAACGGGAAATCAAAAACGGTTCAAAAAGGCGGAAAACAAACTCGGGGGAAAAGACGCCGCTTTCAATTTTTATGGTTCTTGCGTTCGGTCACAGGTCATGGTGCGGAAGAAGCACACGGAGAGGCAGGAATCCACGATAGAGCCTTTAATTATCAAAACAAGAACAAAACACTCTGAAACTGAGGAAGACCACAACCACGATACAACTTTAACGCAAGACAAGGGAACTGAGGAAAACACATGGCTTATAAACACATGGAACGTAATCAGGGAGAACAGGTGAGGAGTAATCAATCAAAACAGGTGAACAGAATAAACGATGATAAACTAAATGAGAACAGGAACTGAACCAAATAGGAGCAAACAGGAACTAAACAGAAACAAACATATGACACGTGTATTAGATTCTAATTATTGATAACATTATTATAAAGTCTAAATGCCTATAAATGCTCAGATCATATTTCATTCCAAAATTAAAAGAAAGAAAAAAAAGACTCATGACACCCCTATACTCTCCCACAACACTACCACCAAATTCTCCTTAGAGAGATTTTCTTTAGTTTTCCTGAATTCTACCAGAAACCTAATAAAATATTATGAATCATTATTACGAGGTCCCAGAGACATTGTTGACCCTCTGAGACAAAGTGATACACCAGTCCAGTGCTTGTTGTTCCCAGGGGAAGCATCCAACATTAATATGTCTGTCCCAGATCCTTCCTCAAAATCACAGAAGGAGTTAGAACAGGAGTCTTCCTATAAATACTATAAAGCTCAGCTTTATTTGGAAACAGACTGACGAGGCATCAATGAGTCTCTTAAGAGGATCAGTGCTGCTTCACTCGCTGTATTCTCTGGCTCTGTACAGGAGACAAACTATGTGGAGACTTACTAGAAGAAAAGCGATTGTTTTTCTTTATGGTTTGGATCCAACCTTACATATTTTGCTCTTGTATTCCCTCGTCCCTCTGAACAATCTGTCTTTTGAAAAGTAATGCAAAGAATATAGTTACAGTATGTATGTTTCATGTGGTTACTGTATGGTCAGTGTAGTATACTGCCATACTACTCTTACTATTTCAGCAATATAGTATACACTCGTAAAAATAAAGGTTCTTTATTGGCAATCAATGGTTCCACAAAGAACCTTTACCACCCATGGAACCTTTTCATTCCACAAAAGGTTCTTTACAGTGGAAAAAGGTTCTTTAGATTATAAAAAATGGTTCTTTTAAGAAGTTCACTGAAAGGTTCTTTGGTGAACCAAAACTGGTTCTACTATGGCATCGCTATGAAAACCCCATTTTGGAACCTTTATTTTTAAGAGTGTACTGTGCATAGTATGCAAACTTTATTTATCACTAGCCTAACATTTCCAATGTGACATATAAATATTACTATGTTAAGCATTTTTACACAAAATTGGGTTAAAATTGCTATGAAAAAAATATTTCCAAGATGATAACTGGATAAATTTACCTTATGTTTAAAATGTTTATCAATGCATACTTTCATTTACTTAGTGTTTTGTCTGTTCATCACAGTAAGGAGTACACCAGTATTCTCTTCCAAGCTTTATCATGGCATGGAAAATTTATTTCACATTGATATTTTGACAATACTACTGTTATAGTCAACAAAGATAACTGTTCTGCAAGTTTACAACTTCCCATTGCAGTTTTGTTGAAGTTGTGCACTCTCAATGCAGTCTTGCTGATTATAACAGAAATGTTCTAGTTTTGTCAGATGGCATTGTGTTGCTCTCTCTCTTTGTACACACACACACACACACACACTGTCAGGATCTTGGACTGTCTGTGTCATGTTTTGGTCCTGTTTCTGTTCCCTTATTTGGTCATGTTCCTGTCCTCATTTTGTTAATTATTTTGATTATGATCCCATGCACCTGTGTTTCCCCAATCATCCCCTGTATTTAAGTCCTAGTCTGTGCAGTCTGTCTCTGTCGGGTCTACTCGTTATGTTTGTGTGTTTCCTACCGTTTCCAGTGTGGATGTACCATGTGTTTGGATTGTATTAAAGACTGTGTTTGTTATTCCTCGTCTCCATCGTTCCTCGCCATCACAGAGTGTGACAGAAGAACCAACCTAAATAGTAACCT